AAAAAAGATGAATCCTTCTCCAAACTGTGGGAGCAGTGAACCAACCTGAAGGGGAACATCAGTTCCTTGAAACTGAGGAGAGCTGTTATTTTTACTATGGTGCTAACTTTTGGTTAAGATCACACACCTTGCTTATTTCAGAAAGGTTTCAGAATCAGCATCCTGTGCTTCTCCCCTCTCTTTTCCTTCTCCTTTCTCATCCTTCTCTCTACCCATCTTGCTTCTCCTATTCTTGGGGTGTTAAACACAGCTTTCTGAGTCAGAAATATGTATTTGTAACCAAGTGTATTACACACATTATTTTGCTACTTTGCATGAGTATATCATTTCTAAACAGGTTTGTTTACTTTAAATAGGCTCAGTTATTAAATGAGGATAATTTAAAATCATTTTGGGAATGTGTTTGGAATCATCTACTAAAGTCGAACTAAAGTATCCAATAGCCTATCCATTTCACTCCTAATTATATATACAATAGATATATGTGCACGTGCCTATCAAAGAATAATAATAGCAGAAGAATTTATGATAGAGCTACTTATTGTAGTATCCTAAATGCTTATCTGTACTAGAATAGTGGAAAAGATTTGAAAATGGCCTGTCAAAGATATGTTCAGGACTAGATCCCCATGACCTGTGAATGTTACCTTTTTTGGGAAAAAGGTCTTTTTCCTTGATCTGGATAATAATTATAGGTATATGCTCATTTTGCAGTATTTCACTGATTGCATAATTTTAGTACTTGCATTTTTCTGTTTCTTTGTTATACTTTAATTGAAAAATTAAAAAGAATCTCTCTCAGAATTCCTTATACTAATATAAATGCCACATGGGGCCTTTAATTATAAATCTTTGTCTCAATCATAAAGCAAAAGAAAACAGACATGCTCCAAATTGCTTCTTGTTCTATGTCAAAGTTATCTCATAAAATCTGGACACTCTTGGGGGATTACTGGAGAATTAAAGCCTGATAAAAATTAATATTTTTCCCTAAGTTATAAGAAAATAGGCTCACATCCTAAAATGACCAGTTAGTGTGTCATTAGTGTTTGCAGGTATATGCAACTCTAATCTGAGAGCTGTTAGTCAAGAACTCACTGATTCTGTCTGCCTTTTTTTATCTCCCTTTTTGTCTGATAATTTTTTGCAGTTGGTAAGGTCTAAAGTTCATGTTCCCCTCTCTTCATGAATGTAAAAATATGGTTTCAATTTCAAGACAAAATTTAAATCTTTATTTTCTATTAATACAGCTGAGAATGAAAGTGAATATAGGGCAAGGCTACTTTGAAATAGGACTAATTCTGAGAAATTGTCTTCTCTTCCTTATGATCATTATACTCTAGTGTTTATATCAGGAACCAAAAAAGAGTTCCAGGGACAATTCAATGTTTCGGTGAAATTTGTATATAAAAGAACTTAATTTTCTCTATATCCTCCAAACCCCTTTCCAGATAAATTTACCGTCTACAGATAAATTTTGAAATGTTGATTAGGAACAATTTGTAGTATGTAAAGTATCATTCAGTTTCTGAAAAAAAAAACTTATAAATCAACAATACATAAGTAAATATATGTTCCTAGAATATATAATCCCAAACTAACTACTTCTAGCTCAGAAATATGTATTTATAGCAAAGTATATACCGCACATTATTTTGCTAGTTTCAAAGGTTATATTTTGTTTTTATACTTTTCTGTATATTACACATTTCTTTCACTGACTGTGAGTTATTTCTATAACCACAGAAATACATATATGTATTAACACTTTTCACTTTCTAAAAGAAACACTTTTTCTGGAAAGCTGTTTCTGTTTAAACAATCATTAGAATTTTGAAGATGATCTAATGTGCATACCTTTTAATGATAAAGATTGGTGGTTATTTGATACAGGGTCAACCATTACTATGTAGCATATATATTTAACTACAGTTAAATACACACACACACACACACACACATATACATACATATATATAAATAAGGAAGGAAATAGAAATATCCACAGGAAGGAATAGACAGACACCTTGCAACTCATACTGTTTTGGCTGCTTTACCACCCAGCAGAAGAGTTTCTGCCTGCTCCAGCAACAGCTGATCAATAGCCCAGCCAGTGAGAGACTGGTACAACTCAGCCAATGAGCAGCCATGACACACAGGGGACTCCCAGGTTCCTCTGTATCACTACACTATTTTATATATATATAGCTGTGGGTAAAATTGTAACATTTCCAGAATATCTCACCTGGCTTTAGTTCATTTGCATATCCTAATGGTGGAGAGAAGTTCATCTCCATGTCAATGGGTAATTACCTAGGCAACTGAGGGCATGTCTGAACCTGAAAGTTTAAGGGGAGGGGCTGGCTTGCTTGCTGGCCTGCTTCTTCCTGAGCATTGGAGAGAGACAGCCGTGGACTACAGTTTGTAGGCAATAAACGAGTTTTAAAGTTTATTTCTCCTTTTGACTGATTTCGGTTTTTAGAGGTATTTTGCCCTGGTATATCCTCTTCCCAGACTTATAATAACTCTTAATGAAAGACGTGAAATTCTTGAAAATTTCATGACACTAACTTCTCTAATTCCATAAAAACCTTTGGCCTGCATTTCTGCATTGTAAAGATATAAGCAGCCCAGTCGTAGTTTAGTCAATGTGTTAATGTAACCAGTGTAGGCATGGAGACTTTAATTCTACTCTACCACACAACTGCAAGCAGTATAAAATTAGACTATTTGCAGTGTACCACTTTTAGATGCATAGTAAGGGAGTGAAAATGGGAAAAAGAGATGTCAAGTAATATAGGTAAATGGTTAAGTGAAAAGCAAGTTACCCAATCTAATACCAGTTTAATAGCAAGTCTTCTATTTTGTAACCTCTAGTTTAGCCCAGTGTGAATGGATTGAAGCCTATATCCTTACACATAACTGCTCAATTCAAATTCCATAAGTAAAACAGGACTCAGGAGGTCTGCCTGGCATCCTCTCTCAAGCAAAGTTCAGTTCTTCAGGTGATGAGGAGGTTATATGCAGGTTCTCTGCTCCACCTGTGTAACCTGAAGCATGCTTACAGAATGCCAAGGACTGGGAAGCTCCCCAGGGTAGTAGTGTCAACATGATATGCATCATGGTATCACACAGCTTCCTTACAACTCAAGCCTTGCAGCTGCTAGAACAGGAAGCAAGACTGTCAGTACAGGAGTTTGCATTTGATTGGCAGGAGTTAAGGAGTGACCTCTTCTGGTCCCTTGTGATGCCACGGTACTTGTTTGTGGAGTTGAAGAATGAACTTCATAAACACTCCAGGTAGGAGAGCAAGTGAGAGGCTTATTTAGAGATAAAGCGAGGGAACAGAGCTCCTGGCTCATGCCAGGAGGGGACAAGGGAGCTCTGGGGTGGTGCATTGTCTAAGGATTTTATAGGGGGTTGAGAGACAAAGGGCTAGGGATGTACACCTGCTAAGTGGTCCCAAAATGTTTATTTTTGAAGAGATATTAAGTTTCTTATTAGTCTTCCTGGTTATTTATAAGAAATTTACTGCTCTGATTTCCTCCCAGGATAACAGCTTCCTGATCTGGGAGCATATCACTCAAGACTGCCTGCTTTGCTCCCAAGGTGGGATGAGTTATTGTCTATTTGTTAAAGAGTATGTTAAGAAACTTACTTTTTAACTAATTGGGTTTTAAAATGCAACCTTATTTTCAAGATGGATCCTTTCTGTTTTTACTATGTTGTTTTGGGCTTGTTTGTTAACTTGCCCAGGTGGCAAATCACTTGATTAGGGCTGGAGGAAGAAAAGCATCATCTGGGTAAAGTCAGAAAAGTAAGCTGGGCCCCCCAGCAGGCTAAAGCAAATCCCACAATGGAATTATCTTGCTTTGTTTTTTCCAGAGGCCCTCACCCTACTCTGTCTAAGCCCATGGTCCCTGTATCACTTGGTTCTTTGAAATAGTCTTTACTTTGTTAGTCTGAGTGACAAGAAATCCAATAACACAGTTGACTCTATACACACTGAGTATTCCAAATAACAGATCTACATCAATCTTACTCAATTTTTGAATGCTGAGATTAAACCATCACCTTTGCTATAGATGTATCAGTGATGGATTAAAAATGGCTGCAATTTTATTTTATTTACACCTTACATAGAGAGGTAGATTTCAATTCTCCATTGCCTAGAATCTGGGCTGTCCCTGTAACCTATTCTGATCAATAGAACACAACAAAAAAGTGTTGAGATCTTTAGCTTCTGCCTCATTGCTTGGAACGCTCTGTCTTGAAAGTGTGAGATAAAAATGAAATTTAACAACCCTCCACAGTGGTTCTCCAGGAAAAGAGAGCTTTGCAAGCTTCAGAGGCCCACAGTCCTAACCCTTGCCGACTCTTGCACACAGATAGCACCAGAATGTGCATTGCGTATACTTTTCAGGACACTAAACCGAATGTATCCTTGACACACTGCTTGGACAAACTAACGTGATTTCTTCCCCACTGTAAACTGCATATAAACTGTCTTCATATGAAGAGGGACAGAGCAGTCTGATCAGAGCTCTCCGATCAACTGTCATCCTGGGCTATGGCCCTAGGTAAGACTCCAAATCTTTCTTAAAGCAGTGGGTATGTGGATTTCAGTCAATGGAAGCCAGCCACATGTGAGTGCCATGCTGTGCAGAGGCCCATGTTAGAGAGAGCAATGGTACAAGTGGAAGTCTCAAGATACCTGTCATGTGGGTGAAGCATTTTGGACCTTCTAAATTTTTCCAATTTTGGAGAAAGTGAAAAAAAGTCGTAGAGTTATGCTATTAAATTTTTTAATGATTATATGTGGTTAAAATATGTAGAAATAGATATATTTATGCAATCCATAATTTTTAAAGAGAAAAGTAGGTTTTCATATATGGTTGCAAAGATTTATAATAATTTGATATAATACAGCACTATATACAAGGATAAAATTAAATGAGTCATCAAATTTTGGGGCACTTTAGCATTTCTTATACCATTTATTTATAGGCTCTAAAGGATTATGAACATGCAACATATAATTACTAAGTCCAATATAATCACTTAATGATATAAAATGGCCTATTTAATTCATCTCCTTTGTGAGGGTGAACAAGAAGAAAACATCTTCTCTAGCCTTGAGCCCACGACTCACTTTCCATGTTGGTAGTTCCATCCATCTTCTGGAGTACTTTTATTTTATTACCAGGTTATTTCTTTACAGCTTAGAATCTAAGCAAACAGCCTACTCTCCATGCCCAGGAGTCATATCACTGTCTATAGACTGAACAATCTCTGCCCACTGGAGAACCATATGCTGTTTCCACTAAGAAGCTCGGTCAGTTATCCTTACCATTGGTGCCTCCTTTTGATGGCATCCAGCACATGATCACCCCACCTGGTGGGAGTGACACCCAACTGAGCCCAAAACTTTGGTCAAGTCCCACTGGACTTAGCTCTTTGCAGATTGCACCCCCACCAGGACTCTTCTGATCTCCCCTCTGACAAATATTGAAAATTATAGGGGTGGCATTGGGGTACTGGAGAAAGTTTCTTCTGATGGAACCAACCCAATATCACCCTAGCATAGAGGCAGTGATAAAATATCCCTTACTATGTAATTTAATCTCTTTAAGGAAATGATCATGTAAGCTATTAAGTCATTGAAACAATTGAAACTTGAATTATTGAGATTAGCTTTACCTAAATATGGGTATCATAACTATAACTCTGCATAGAAGTTTGATATAATCATTATGAAATTTATTTAAATGGTGATTGTCCCAAGTTCTATAATTTATCATTCCTTTGTGTCTTCAGTGAAAGTGAACAAGAAAAGTAAGTTTTGGTATTTAGCTCTTAGAGTAAGATACATGGATCTTCTGGTGAGGGAACTTCTCTCTGGAGTTGCTGGATCTTATTGTGAAGCCTTCTTCTTTCAGCTTCAGTATGCTCTCTGATCTTTTCAGCCTCTTCCTAAAGAGAAATAAATAAAACTATAAAGATTAGCAAAAGTAATGTTAGCAAAAAGGGGGGAAAAGCCCAAATTATTGACTTTTTCTTACTTATTTGAATCCCTCAGTAAGTAAAAGAAGCTGGTCCTTGACCCCTCTTTTCCATGCATGTCCATTTTACCTCTCATTTTCGGTTTCTCATTTGTGTAGTTCTTCCATATACCTTTCACCAACTCCGGAAACATAATCCTCTCAATCTGTGAAATATTGATGTCTCAAGAATTATATCCTAAGGCTCCCTTCCCCCTAATTTTATACATCCTCTCTCCTATTTATACAGAGAGGAATATCAGATGGAGTTCTAAGATACAACAACTATATGTCTAGGTGACCTTCACAGTCAGGTGAGGAGTCTGGGCCTCTGGCAAGATAGCTGGTTCCAAGTCTCCGCAGTTAGGGGGCAAAAGTAGAAGGAAAGAGTGAGGCAATCAAGAACCCCAGGCTGACTATACTGCCTGTCAATGCAGGGCTGTAATCTCAAAAGTGTCTTCAGGGTGCCTGGACAACTAGGACCTTCAGGGAGCCTGGCCATCCTGGGAGGGTTAGGGTACCCTTTGTCTCATAAGAGTGCTCACATAAGAATTTCATACCAGGTTTGCAGAAACCAGCCCTTGCAAATCCCACTCATTGGGAAGGCAGTTCTGATGACTTGCCAGGCTATGTGATACTGGCATTTAGTTATCTCTTTAGAACCTCACTTTTCTCATTGGAAAAATAGGGTCATAGTAGTTTTGCTTCACGATGAACAGATTGGATGAGAGAATGAGCCAAGTGCTTTATGCTGTGCTTGATAATTAGGAACTAGTCTTAATGAGTGATGATAATAATAAATAACTGCATGAAACAAACTCTTCCAGCTAAAGACCTTCAATGCCAGCAGTGATTAAGGGAAGAACAAGTGCGTGGACACAGTAATATGGAAATAATCTAATAAGGTAATCTATAATCAAAGAAAAGACTGTCTAGAGCAATTAACAAGTTAACGACAAGAGAAAACCTAAGTGCCATGGGTTAGAAATGCCCTGGGCTTTTCTTTAACAAATTACAGTGCTGATTTTTATGCCAAGCACCATTATAAACACAAAATTGACTCAGTTATCACAATAACCCCATAAAATGGGTGTTATCACTGTCTCCATTTTCCGCAAGAGGAAATTGAGGTACAGAGGGGCTAAATAGCTTGCCCAAGCCATGTATTTAGTAAGAAGTAGAGCTAGGATTCACACCCAGGCCGTCTGACTCGAGCTCATGCTCTGAGCCACAACATCACGTTACCTCTCTCGCTTTGTCACTGCTTCACGCTCTCATCAACACAGAGAGGGAGATGCGCTTAACCCTGAGATGCAGTAACTGAGGAGTACCTGGAGCCGACGTTCCTGGGCCCTCCAATACATCGCCAGGTCACGTGCTCTGTTCCTCTCCATTCGTCTCACTTGTTGCTGATGGAGTCTCTCCCTCTCCACCAGCATTTCCTGGTTGCGCCTTTGAATTGCCTCCAGCCTTTGAGCTTCAGCCTTTGCAGCCTCTGCTTTCACACGTGCCTCTGAGAAAGAAGAAAATGGCAAAGCTCTCTGGGATTTAAAAGCCCCTGCCTTCTGCTTCCCACTTTTATTTCTTATTGCTGCTACTTCAAAAAGAAAATTCTCAGTGTTTCCCTGCCGGATAACCACATTGCAGCCAACAGTACGTGCCCTACTCAGATGCGGCACGTGCCCTACTTAGATGCGGCTGAGGAGCTAAGAATCCTCTGTGCCATTATGACCCCAGTTTACTGATCCCTGATGAAGCAGGCTGGATGAATTTAGAATGCATGGACATTTCTTTCATCTTTCCATTTTCTTCTCACCTTCTATCTCCTTTTCCCTCTTGGTGAGAGCCAGGTCCATCTGTAGAATGCTATCGCTCACAGACTCCCTGGACTGTAAATATTTCTGCAGAGTTTCCTCAGCCTAGGAACCCCAAAGACAAGCAGTTCAGAGCATGAAATAGTAATTAGGAGTGCTACAAAACTCTTAGTCCTTTTTCTTCCCTGAAGTGCTCAGCCGGTACTTGCTAAAACCCTTTTCTCACAGGGGTGATCACAAGCGTTGAGCTGGCTAAATCAGAGCACCTAAGGCCACTGGATGCAAAGGATTTGGGTACAAGTGGGAAAATAATGCAACGTGGGTGCTTTAAGGACTGGTTCGGATGCTGGGAAAAGGTGCTCTCCCTCCCCTGACACTGAGGGCACAAAGGATTTGTTAACCTGAGAGCTATGGTCTCATCTTCACTAGCAAGCGGGGTGAGGCTGCCTGTAAATGAAACCAACAGCGAGGAAGAGAGAACGGAAAAGGAAGTGGGGGTTGAAAGAAAGAAGGAGGGGGGGGAACTGACAATACTGCTTGAACCCCTGAAAGTAGCTATACTGGCAGCTAAATTCAGTCTGCCTTTAGTTTGTGGAAGCCAATGGATTACAGTTTTATCATAATTAAGTTTCAGTTATTGGGATTGTGTCCTGTGTGACCAAAAAAGTCCCCTTTTTACAATGTATGTTGATGGTTGCAATAAAAGTCTGGTGATTATGGTGATAGTTCAACTTAATTCAACCGCCATCCTTGGAATTTAAGTATTTTCTTCCTGTCCTCACTGGCATTTGAAAGAAGACCCACTACTAACAGATAAATCTAGAGATACCTGTATTCCTTTTCTGGGTTTTTGATAGTACATTGCCTTCAGCTTTTCTGTCTTCTGCACGAAGAGACGAAACCCCCCTGGCTTTGAATAAATCCCCTGCTTCACACCTTCTTCTAGAGGCTGGAAAATATCTTGAAGTAAAGCTGAGCAATAATCTGAAGATGCCTTCAAGTTCTGTTTATAAAAGTCACTCTGTTTTGCTTCCAGCAAAGTCTTCAAAGGGAAAAAGGTCCACAGAAAAGATGTTAGCAACATTTCAGTATTTCTAGAAATGATTCTTAAAAAGAATATTTTTTCTAGGAACTAGAGGTCTACAAGCAAGACTATATCCTTCCTGCCACACCTAGAAAAGTTCCAAGGAAGGTACACTGTAGAAAAAAGACAGTTTAGTTTTGTGTTTGACATGTCCTGAAACCCCTTTCTCCTGCTATTTCTGCTTAAGATGTAATCTTCAGAGTACAGGTCTCTAGCTTCATGCTGTAATATTAAATGTCATTAAATATTAAATGTCACTGTGTTTAACATTTCTGGTTTCAGTATTATATTGGGCCTGGGATTCCCAACAAGGTAGTGGAATGCAGTAATTGGCTAGAATGACATGAGAGTCTGTTATGAAACCTGGAGACATAATCTTTGAGTAGATCCATTTGCAATTCTGTATGCTTGATAAATAAAAAAGGGAAGTCACAATACTTCATGAATACAACTTTTGAAGGAATAAGATTACTTTAAAAAAATTGGTCCATGGATGTAACATGGTAAGCGAGCTGTATGTTAAGTTCCAGAATCTATGGGGCCCAGAGCAGTTACATGTTTATTTGTTTGTTTGTTTTCAGAATAGCAGTGATAGCTTGGTCACATAAGTGATGGTCATTACTTTCCACTCTTGTAAGGATTGCTTTTCTTAATTAAATCCCCATTTTGCCTTTGATAGGTATACTTGCCTTTTACTATCCATAAACCCTATTAACTAGAGAAAAAAAAAAACACCTCTAATTCTTTCTGGAAACTTTGGTCCACATCCTGGAAAGAGTTCTCCATGAAAACTCTGATGGCCTCTCTTTTGCTGGCGCTGTGCAGATCCAGCAGCTCTTGGAGGGTTTCTGTGGGCAGCTGGACCTTCTGGCTCATCTGCTGGTCATAGTGAGCAATGGCCTTTTTCACTGCAGTTGAATTCTTGATCTGGGCCAAAGTCAGGACTGAATTCTCCATGTAGGGCAGATTCCCACTGCTGATAGCATTGACATAGGTCAGCACCAGGCTCTCTAGATCTTCAAGGCAGGGGTGAAGGGAGGGAGATGCATGTGTTATTTACGTAATAAAGAGAAAGAGGACAGGCTTTAAACCGGCTTAGCATGTGAATTAAAAGATTTGTTGCCTGAACTTTTCTGCACAATATTCAAGTGGCCCCAATAAGTTTTTTTGGGGGAACTGTATGACCAATAAGCCAGATTTTTCTTTGGGAAAAGAAATATTCAAAGGGGAAACTCAAAATCTATGTGATTATCCACATTTCATCCTTTCCCCTTGAGAAAGAAGAAAATGGTTATATAAAGTTATGCATATTCATTGATTAGACTAGGCCTTTTGCCTCTTCTCTTCCTTTCTTTCCCTCTTCCTCAGGTTTCTGTTCCCTTCAGAATTCCCTTTCCTCTTCCCCTTCTCATTGTAAAGCTGATGTGGGCATAACCTCCTCTGAAAAAGCACAAAGTGAGTAAGTTAGGCCAGGTCCCTTTTACTGGCAGCTGGAACTTTCTGTGTGTCTTCCTTGTCCTTGCATACTTCGCTGCCACTTCCCTCTAGAGAGTGACGATACTTCACACAGTTCTGACATGGAGTCTTTGGGAAAGCCTGGGCCAAGAAGTCAGCTTAGATATTTTTTTTTAGGGTTCTAGACTGCTTGGGCCTCTGTTTAATGTTTGGGTCAACTGAGGTCATTTCTACAGAGAACGTACATGTCTTCCTCGTCTTGTGTCTATTGAAGGCTGTGACACACCATAGATATCTACTATATTGGTGGAACAAATGCTGTCAACCCACATGGGGTAGTCTAGTTCAGCTGTGGATCAGTTATGGACAGAACTTCTTTAGCTTGATCTTTTCCTCAGGTTATATTTCTATTTTTCCTACTTTGGAGGCATTGCTTAAAAAAGCACTAGAAATATTTTTGTTACCCACTGTAATTTAATAATATGACACATAACATTTTCTCAGTAAAAACCGACTATGTGTTTTCAATATTGTTGATGGGAGGAGAAACTTATTTTAGTGCCTCCACTCTTTATGTTGTATTGAAAGAAAATCCTAAAAAAGGTACTCACAGGGTCCATTGACCTTAATGCCTCCTGAAAGAGTTTTAGGTTTGGAATGGTTGAGGATGTAGGAGTAGAATTCTTCTACTTGTTGCACAAAATCAGGATTCAGCTCATCATTACACAGTGTCTCAAGCTGGGCAAATTTCTTCCTGTGAGTGGGTGTGTCAAAGACAAAGCATTTCCTTACTGGAAAGAATTTCTTGATACATTGATCAGGCAAATTGAAATTTTGAAGCCTTTGATTAGTGCCTGGGGAAGGAAAAATAGGATTTAGCATAGGATTACCACTCATTTTAATTATTTTCCTCAAATAAATGAGCCTTCCACCTGATGTTATTTGTTTCAGTATGTCTTCACAAATGCTAAACAAGAAGTTGAAAGGTAACCAATCAGGGAAAGGAAAAAAGAAAATTTTTCTCCAAGAACAGGGGAGTAATACAATTTAATATTGAAAATATAAGTTCACTCTAAATTAATACCATAAATTATTTATTTGGTAGTTTAGACAGGTGAGTAAGTATGGGAAAGTATAAATTAAACTATCCACATGCAAGAGAGAATTTCTTATGTTACTTTTCTACCTCTTTCCAAAACTGAAATCTCTGTTACCTTGCCCTGGCTTCAGTGAATTCTCCAGGTATTCATCTGTTGTGATGAGCTTCCCATCTACTTCCAGGGCTAGGTAGAAATCTCTCAGAGTCCACACTAAATCTGGACAGAAACACTGAAAGTCAGCTGCATCTTCAGCCCTGCTGCCATCAGGTGAGGTTATGGTCCTGAGCAGATTTGACAGCTCTATGACATAGCTGCAGTGCAATTAAGGAAAACTGGCAGGAACAGGAATGCAGCTATGCCCATGTTTAATTTCATGTCTCTCTATACCTTACATTTCTCTTTGGCTCTTAACTAATTCTTCATTCCATCAGTAAATATAAGGACTCTTTTTCTTGTAGCTTTAATGTTTATCATGTTTTCATTTTGGTGTTTGATTCACAAAGACTCACAAACACAGCTGGTGAATACAGGAGTTCTTTCTGGCTTTGATACCGTCCTGGACCACCAAAGGATACTGCAATAGGTCGACAGCTCTCTGGTCAATTTTGTTCATTGTATTGTATACAAAGGTGCTACTCAGTAGAATTGCCAGTGCAAAGATATGAGTATCATTATTCTGGTTACCCTAGAAGTCAGAACAAATTAAAGTCATGTCTTACGGTGTTCCTAGATAAGCACATTAAAAATAGACCCCTGATCTACAAAGGTTAAACAGGACAAACAAAAATGATTGTGAAAAACATATGAACTTTGAAAAGAATAGTTCTGTCATTATCATTGACAATTTTACAAGAAACCATATATTGTTAACTCACCCAATCCCTCTTGTAACTAGTTAGGTGTTTGCAAAATGAACAGTCAGTTAGTGCGATAACCAGAATGTTTAAAATGGAGATTTCTAATTGTGTAAAACAAAGTTGGCTTATAGATGTAATAGATACATTTTACTGAGTAGTTATTATACACAGTAGTTATATACAAATTCACATTATCTTATACTCACAGGAACATTGTGAGATAGGTTTATAGCCACTGCCTCTATGCTACAGGTGAGGAAGCTAAAGCACACATTGAGGCTATTTTAAATTTGTGGTGAATCAAAAGCAAAATAAAAACATAAAAAACATGAGAAGGTCAATGGAAAGATCCAGTTGTGTGCTAAAGCCAGCTTGTACCTGCCCGTAAGAGCTGATGGTGTACATCTGTTCTGAACCCCAAACTTAGTGACTTCACTTTGGTAGCCTGCCATCAGCTGTGATGGGATACTTGGAAAACTGCAAGTGCTACACATCAAGGAGTTTCTTTCCCTCCAGAGGGCTAATTGTAAACACTTAATGAGCAAAGCAGTAGAAAAAAGCCCATGTATCTAGTGTTTGAATGATAAGTTGGATAAGTCTAAACAGAAAATTAAAAATGTTGGGAGACTTACTCTTGATTGTCAAAGTCAGAGAGCTGCAAGTGATAAAGCCTGGTCTGAAGTCAGGTTCCTTTTACCAGAGCCCACTACTAATCACTATTCTCCACAGGATCAGACTCCTAGATGGGATTTTATTTACAACATCTTTCTGCATTTCAGTTAACTGCTTAGCTCTACAGTAGTTCAGTCTCCCAGTCATGATTCTAGCTTATAAGTACATCTTTCTCACTTCAGGTTTCCAAACTTTGACTATTAAAAAGAAAAAGGGGAAAAAAACACACTCTGGTCAAGCACAAGTACAAATCTGGAAAAAACAAAGCCCCCAATCTCCCCGTGCAACAATGTTCAGAGATGAGGAATCAGAAGGAATCCTTGCTCCCCACCTTCTGCACATCGCCCAGGCCCTTGGTGTCAAGCAGAACTAGGGTGTGGCTTGGCTTCTTGGGGTGAGGCAAACACCACATCCAGATGCCCTTGGTGTGAGACTGCACTGTGGAGCCAACAGAGAAACCTGCAAGGGGAGTGGAGAGGTTGTAGGAAAGGAGGGGATCTAGGAATTGGAGACTTCTTAACAACTGAGCAAGGGTTTGAAGAAAGCAAGATGAGGAGATAGCAGAAAGTATAACCAGTATTGATCTGAATTGAAGCAAAGGAATGGGAAAGAGAATATCAAATACCATAGGCTGGCAATTTGATGGGTTTTTTTTACAGGAATATTATGCTACTAAAATTTTAATAGTGTATAGTTATATATATATATATATATATATGTTATTTCATTAATGTCTCAATGATTTCCTTATGATTGGAAAGTATGCTTTTGCCAAAGAGATACTAGGAAAAAAAAAAAGGGGGTGCTATGTCTGGACAGACCTCTGCCCTTTATCTCCCAGAAGATAATTAGCCCAGCTTGGCCCAAACCATGAGCTTTCAGGATTCCTCCCCATCCCTAACTTTCTCTCCGTCTGCCACCATACTCAGCGCTGGCAGTCTGGGTGCACACAGGGGACTCGGCAGAGCTTTGCTGGTGCCACTCACCCTTTCTCTTCCCAGCCAGCTTGTTCATCAGGTAGGATTTGCCTGTGCGGTACAGGCCCACAATAGCCACCACCACCACTGGCTGGGTAATGGCAGACAGGATCTTCAGAGCTTCCTGATTAGCCACCAGCTGCCCTTTAATGTTCTCAATGAGGCACAGGGGGGCTGGCATGTGGCTCTCTGAGGCCATGCTGAGGGTGTTTCCTTGTCTGCAAAGGAAGAGATGAGATGAACTGGAATTTTTGGTCTTCAGAAAGAGAAAGTCATTTGCTTCCTGAACCTGGGTACATTCTACTCTCCAGCATGGACTAAGTTTCTAAAGAAATAAAAAAAAAAAAAAGAGCAAAAAGAGACATAGTAAAACAAGTAGCAGGTCCTTACCAAGTCTGCTATAGGCCGTCCCCAAGTTCTTAAATAGCTGGTGGGCATAAGAAAACCCATATCCTGAGTTTAATTTATTGCTAGTTTGAATCTGACTCTTCTCCACTGGCTTTTAGCATGCTTATATTTCATTCTCAGTTTTTACCTCCTTGAATCTCCAGATTGGATCTGTGTGACCACTCTGTTTTGTATGTTCTTGCTCTTATCCCATACCAACTTGCTTTTCTCTAATTAGAGCAATGTCTAATCAAATCTCCCTGTCTAAGTGTAATCAAACTGTATTATACTAAATCCTGCCAGGTCATTATGTAGCATTATCTAACAAATCCTAATCATTTACTTCTTAGAGCTGTACTTAAAAATTTTTTGTGTGTAGTTATTAATGTGCCTTCTCCAATCAGAGCTTCAATGCATGATCATTTTGTGGCTGGGGAAGTGAGTATAAGTACCTTTTTAAATAATGCTAAACTATTTATTTTCTAACTTTTAAGCATCAATTCTTATAGCCTTAAGATTCCCTGATACAACATTTTTAAGCTATCTGAGATTTAAGCAAATGAGATTTAAGAAAAAAGAAAACCAATTTTCTTCCCTTTTAGAAATGATTATTTACTACAAAAACTAACATTTCACCATCTGCTTGACTTTCTTTCACCAGAATCCTGCAGTGGATCTGGATCCCTTACTAGTTGACTGCTTTTTAAAAATTATGAAGACCCATTCTTCCCCCGTCCTCATAGCCAATGCTGTGGAGATCATCCAGGTGACAAGTAAAAATAGAAACTGCTTAGGTGCAGAGAAGAGATGATTCATTGCAAATGGCATAGAACCAGGGCATGGGAGGCAGGAAATGCCCAGGCCAACCCAATTCCAAAGGGTGGATTCCACATGATTTTACAGACTCAAATGCCAAGATGCTTTCTGATTCCATTCTAATCTGATTCCAGTGCAATATTTGTACATTATATTGTAGATTTCTGGTTGCCCAACTTGTACATAGCAGGTGCCATAATAATTTTTAGATTAGAAAGATACGGGGACCTGGCAGTGATGATCTACACCAATTAGCTAGAAAAACAACATACACAATCCAAATTTATTTGCACATATTGGAGACTCATAAACTCTTATGCTTTGGGATGATGTCACTAATGGGAGATGGAACTAATTTGTTACTGAATTATCAGACCTCCTAATGAAAAACATTAACACTATGTACCTATGTTAATAAAAGTATTTTCTACATTGTACTCCATATCTGGGTAACATCTTTAATGACTTTAGGAGAGCCCAATCTCCAAAACATTTTTACAGATTCCAACTGTTTGCACCCCATACCTAACTACTGCTCTGCCAGTCATAACTCAGCCCATAATGTAGGCTCTGAAATGCATTCTCCCTAACTCTATTAGAGCCCCATAAACTTTCGTTAAGTAAAAACAACTCAAGAACAGATCAACACACACACACACACACACACACACACACACACACACACACACACATTTTGGCTTTGAGGTAAGGCAAACCAGATTTCCAATCCCAGCCCTACAACTGACTGTCTGTAGGACATTGGCATTTCTATTTTAGACTGTTTTCAAAAAAATGAAAGTAAATAAATAAATATTTGTTTCAGTACAACTGCTAGCTTAACAAAGAGAAAGCTTCAGGAGAGGAGAAAAATGTAAAGAAATAAAATAACAAAAAATATGAGAGAAAAGGCTCAGAGGTACTTGATAGTGTTGGGTTTCTAAAAGAAAACATCTGTTTTCAGCCATATAACTCTGGTTGGGGATTTTTTGTGTGTGTGATTTTTGTTGTTATTTGCTTATGCTTTGTTTTGTGTTGTTTTTCAATTGAGTTTGGAGGAAGAGGAAAAACCAAGGAGATAAATGGAAATCAAACAAGAAGGAGATGTATGAAGCATGCACCATTATAAGAAATTTAGGCAGAGAGGAGCCAAGATGGCGGCATGAGTAGGGCAGCAGAAATCTCCTCCCAAAACCATATATATTTTTGAAAATGCAACAAATACAACTATTTCTAAAAGAGAGAACAGAGGATACAGTACAATAGCCAGGCTACATCTACATCTGCTAGAACTCAGCATCTCATGAAGGGGGTAAGATACAAGCCGTGACCCGGTGGGACCCAAGCGCTCCCACCACCACAGCTCCCCAGTGGGAGGAGAGGAGTCAGAGCAGGGAGGGAGTGAAAGCCCAGGACTGCTAAACAACCAGCTCTAGTAATCTGCACCAGGAGTGCAGACACACATTGCATGGTGAACTGGATATTAGGGAAATGGAAAAGCAAAATCTGTGAGCGGGTCCCTGCAGCCGGCTCCCCTGGAACAAAAGAAAAGCGAGTTCTTTTTGAAAGTCTTAAAGGGACAGGGGCCTCACAGCTGGATGGAATCATCCCAGCACACTCAGCCCAGCAGGTGGGGAATCTTGAGGAACTTCAGGTGCCCCAATCTCCTGGGTGGCAACACAGCTCTGAAGCCCCTCACGGTGATCAGCAGCCTGCCATTTGTTCCCCTGGCCAGTGCGGCCCCACCACAGCAGCCAAGCAGCCAGAGAGTGGCCTTGCCCACAACAGCCTCCCAGACTCTCCTCCTGGCACCCAGCTGCCTGGACCAGACCAAGAGGCCACCACTGGTGTGCAGCTGCCTGGTGCAGGCAGAGGAAGCCAGGGCAGGGTGCAAAGGGGTGCTGTTCTTGCAGGACAACACACCCAGCACACCTGCCGCTCCCCGCAGGGCTCTGTGTGGCCCTGCCAGCTGCCTCACTGGTGGCAGCTCAGCAGATTAATCTGGACACTGCTCCTGGTGTGTGAGTAACTGACACAGGCAATAGAGAAGGGCAAGGTGAACAGCAAGCAGGAAGAGACTTTGTTCACCCAGCTGATACACAAACCATCTGCCTGTGACTACCTCTATAGCCATGAAAAGGCAGAAGAATTTGGGCCAGTCTAGAATTACCCAGACAACCCCTGAGAGAGGGCTTGGGGAGATAGATATAACAAATCTTCCTAAAAAAGAATTCAAAATAAAGGTCATAACCATGCTGATGGACCAGCAGAGAAATATGCAAGAGCTAAGGGATCAAGTCAGGAGGGAGAACACAGAAATAAAACAATCTCTAGAAGGACTTAAGAACAGACTGGATGAGGTGCAAGAGACCATTAGTGTAATAGAAATCAGAGAACAGGAACACAGAGAAGCTGAGGCAGAGAGAGGATCTCTGGGAATGAAAGAATATTAAGAGGACTGTGTGACCAACCCAAATGGAACAATATTTGCATTATAGGGGTACCAGAAGAACAAGAGAGAGAAAAAGGGATAGAAAGTGCCTTTGAAGAAATAATCGCTGAAAACTTCCCCAAACTGGGGGAGGAAATAGTCTCTCAGACAATGGAAGCCCACATATTTCCCAACACAGGGAACCAAGGAGGACAACATCAACATATAATAATTAAAATGGCAAAGATCAAAGATATGGACAGAATATTAAAGGCAGCCAGAAAGAGAAAAAAGGCCACCTATGAAGGAAAACCCATCAGGCTATCATCAGACTTCTCAACAGAAACCTTACAGGCCAGAAGAGAATGGCATGACATATTTAATACAATGAAAGAGAAGAAACTTGAACCAAGAATACTGTAGCCAGCACAATTATCATTTAAATATGAAGAAGGGATTAAACAATTCCCAGACAAGCAAAAGTTCAGGGAATTTGCCTCCCACAAACCACCTCTACAGGACATTTTAAAGGGACTTCTCTAGATGGAAGTACTCCTAAGGCTACATAGATGTCACCAGAGAAAATAAAATCACAGTAAAGAAAGCAGACCAACCAAATAATAACTAAAGGCAAAAAATAAAATCAACTATTCACAAAAGCAGTCAAAGGAAACACAAAAGAGTACAGAATAAAACACCCAACATTTAAAGAATGGAGTAGGAGGAATAAGAAGGGAGAGAAATAAAGAATCAATAATCAGACTGTGTTTATAATAGCTTAATAAGTGAGTTAAGTTAGATGGTTAGATAGTAAAGAATCTATGCTTGAACCTTTGGTAACCACAAATCTAAAGCCTGCAATAGCAATAAGTACATATTTTTCAATAATCACCCTAAATGTAAATGGACTGAATACACCAATCAAAAGACACAGAGTAATAGAATGGATAAAAAAACAGGACCCATATACATGCTGCTTACAAAAGACTCAGCTCAAACTCAAAGATATACACAGACTAAAAGTCAAGGGATGGAAAAAGATATTTCATGCAAACAATAGGGAGAAAAAAGAAGGTGTTACAGTACTTGTATCAGACAAAATAGACTTCAAAACAAAGAAAGTAACAAGAGCTAAAGAAGGATATTACATAATGATAAAGGGTCAGTCCAACAAGAGGATATAACCATTATAAACATATATGCACCCAATACAGGAGCATCAAAATATGTGAAACAAATGCTAACAGAATTAAAGGAAGCAACAGAATGCAGTGCTTTCGTTCTAGGAGACTTCAACACACCACTCACTCCAAAGGACAGATCCACCAGACAGAAAATAAGTAAGGACACAGAGGCACTGAACAACATACTAGAACAGATGGACCTAACCAGACACCTACAGAACTCTACACCCAAAAGCAGCAGGATACACATTCTTCTCAAGTGCACATGGAACATTTTCCAGAATAGACTGTATACTAGGCCACAAAAAGAGCCTCAGTAAATTCAAAAAGATTGAAATTCTACAAACCAACTTCTCAGACCACAAAGGTATAAAATTATAAGTAAATTGTACAAAGAAAACAAAAAGGCTCACAAACACATGGAGGCTTAACAACATGCTCTTAAACAATCAATGGATCAATGACCGAATAAAAACAGAGAGCAAACAATATATGGAGACAAATGACAGCAACAGCACAAAGCCCCAACATCTGTGCGATGCAGCAAAGGTAGTTCTAAGAGGAAAGTATAAAGCAATCCAGGCCTATTTAAAGAAGGAAGAACAATCCCAAATGAATGGTCTAAAGTCACAATTAATGAAACTGGAAAAAGAAGAACAAATGAGGCCCAAAGTCAGTAGAAGGAGGGACATAACAAAGATCAGAGAAGAAAGAAATAAAATTGAGAAGAATAAAACAATAGAAAAAATCAATGAAACCAAGAGCTGATTCTTTGAGAAAATAAACAACATAGATAAGCCCCTAACCAGAGTTCTTAAGTGAAAAAAAGAATCTATACACATCAACAGAACCAGAAATAGGAAAGGAAAAATCACAACGGACCCCACAGAAATACAAACTATTATTAGAGAATACTATGAAAATCTATATGCTAACAAGCTGGAAAGCCTAGAGGAAATGAACAACTTGATAGAAAAATACAACCTTTCAAGACTGACCAAAGAAGAAACAAAAAATCTAAACAGACCAATTACAAGCAACAAAATGGAATTGGTAATCAAAAAAACTACCCAAGAACAAAACTCCTGATCCAGATGGATTCACTGCTGAATTTTATCAGACATATAAAGAAGACATAATACCCATTCTCCTTAAAGTTTTCCAAAAAATAGAAAAAGAGTGAATACTTCCAAACTCATTTTATGAAGCCAGCATCACTCTAATACCAAAACCCACCAAAAAAGAAAATTACAGGCCAATATCCCTGATGAACATAGATGTAAAAATACTCAACAAAATATTAGCAAACCAAATTCAAAAATACATCAAGAGGATCATACACCATGATCAAATGGGATTAATCTCAGGGATGCAAGGATGGTACAACATTTGAAAATCCATCAACATCATCCACCACATCAACAAAAAGAAGGACAAAAACCACATGATCGTCTCCATAGATGCTGAAAAAGCATTTCACGAAATTCAACATCCATTGATGATAAAAACTCTCAACAAAATGGGTATAGAGGGCAACTACCTCAACATAATAAAGGCCATATATGACAAACCCACAGCCAACATCATACTTAACAGCAAGAAGCTGAAAGCTTTTACTCTAAGATAGGGAACAAGACAGGGATGCCCACTCTCCCCACTGTTATTCAACATAGTACTGGAGGTCCTAGCCATGGCAATCAGAAAAAACAAAGAAATACAAGGCATCCAGACTGGTAAAGAAGAAGTCAAACTGTCCTTATTTGCAAATGACATGACATTGTACATGAAAAACCCTAAAAACTCTACTCCAAAACTACTAGAACTAATATCTGAATTCAGCAAAGTTGCAGGAGACAAAATTGACACACGAAGTCTGTTACATTCCTTTCCACTAACAATGAGCTAGCAGCAAGAGAAATCAGGAAAACAATTCCATTCACAATTGCATCAAGAAGAATAAAATACCTAGGAATAAACCTAACCAAGGAAGTGAAAGACGTATACCCTTAAAACTACAAGGGTATAGTAGTTTTAAATTAAATTAAAGAGGACACTAACAAATGGAAACTCATATCATGCCTTGGCTAGGAAGAATTAATATTGTTAAAATGGCCATCCTGCCTGAAACAATCTACAGATTCAGTGCAATCCCTATCAAAATACCAACAGCATTCTTCGACGAACTGGAACAAATAGTTTTAAAACTCATATGACCCTGAATAGCCTAAGCAATCCTGAGAAGGAAGAATAAAGCAGGGGGGATCTCGCTTCCCAACTTCAAGCTCTACTACAAAGCCACAGTAATTAAGACAATTTGGTACAGCACAGACCAGTGGAACACAATAGAGAGTCCAGATATTACCCAAAGATATATGGTCAATTAATATATGGTAAAGGAGCCATGGACATACAATGGGGAAATGACAGCCTCTTCAACAGCTGGTGTTGACAAAACTTGACAGCTACATGTAATAGAATGAAATTGGATCATTGTCTAACCCCATACACAAAAGTAAATTCAAAATGGATCAAAGACCTGAATGTAAGTCATGATACCATTAAACAATCAGAAAAAGTATAAGCAAAACTCTCTTGGACATAAACATGAGCAACTTCTTCATGAATATATCTCCCCAGTCAAAAATGAACAAGTGGGACTATATCAAGCTGTAAACCTTCTGTACAGGAAAGGACACCACCAATAGAACAAAAAGGCATCCTACAGTATGGGAGAATATATTCATAAATGACAGATCTGATAAAGGGTTGACATCCAAAATATATAAAGAGCTCATGCACCTCAACAAACAAAAAGCAAATAATCCAATTAAAAAATGGTCAGAGGAGCTGAACAGACACTTCTCCAAAGAAGAAATTCAGATGGCCAACAGACACATGAAAAGATGCTCCACA